TACAAAAATTGGCCAGGCATGATGGTGGGCACCTGTAACCCCAGCTATTCAGGAGGCTGAGACACAAGAATCGCTTGAAACCAGGAGATGGAGGTGGCAGTGAGCCAAGATTGCCACTGCACTCCAGCCTGGACAGCAGAGTGAGGCTCAGTCTCAAAAACAAAAATTAAAAAAAAATTGCAAATACCATGTCTTTTTTTTTTTTCATTCTAAAAATGCAGAAATTAGCCGGGCGTGGTGGCACACGCCTGTAGTCCCAGCTACTCGGGAGGCTGAGGCGGGAGAATCGATTCAACCTGAGAGACACAGGTTGCAGTGAGCTGAGATTACATCTCCCTACTCCAGCCTGGGCGACAGACCAAGACTCCATCTCAAAACAAAACAAAAAAACAAATAGAATGTGATGTGATGGACCCTTTTACATAAAAGAGGAACAGGTCAAGAAGCAGGGAAATGTTCTAGAAAACAAAGCCGCATTTACCTAGACATGCTTATTGTCAGAGGTATTATTGCCAAACACAGCCCGATCAACAACACCAACAGGAAGAAGAAATTAGAATTGGATGCTCTGAACTGCCTCGGGGAGGGTCTGCAGGTGTAAAGCAGACTCCACTACAAGGAGAAAAAGAAAGAAAAATTAAGATCAATGAATATAGCTTCTGTGAGGATCAATACGCATATTTCTGCTTTACAGTGGGAATGTAAATCACTCTAACCTTTCCAGAGGGTTGTCCAGAAATATGGATCAAGATGAAAACAGTTAATTCAGACTCTAAACTCTGGAGGGTTCATGCTGATGAAACAGAGGGGAAATGGGCCAAAATACAGATATGTGGATGTTTAATGCTACAGACATTGATAACACAGAATAATTGCAAGCAACCTAAATAGCTATCAATGGGGGTTAGTGGCTGGGTGCAATGTCTCACATCTGTAATCCCAGCACTTTGGGAGGTCACAGCAGGAGGATCACTTGAGGTCAGCAGTTTGAGGCTGCAGTGAGCTATGATTGTGCCACTGCGCTCCAGCCTAGGCAAAAGAGAGAGACCCTCTCTCAAAAAGAAAAATGGAGGTGGGGAACAACAGTTTATTAGGTTATAGTTAAAGGTTAAAGTATATCTATATAGAATGAAATACCATACAATCCTAAAGAAGGATGAGGCTGGGCGCAGTGGTTCACACCTGTAATCTCAACACTTCGGGAGGCTGAGGTGGGCGGATCACAAGGTCAGGAGTTCCAGACCAGCCTGGACGATATGGTGAAAACCCGTCTCTACTAAAAATACAAAAAATTAGCCAGGAGTGGTGGCGGGCGCCTGTAGTCCCAGCTACTCAGGAGGCTGAGGTGGGAGGATGGATTGAGCCCAGGAAGGTTGAGGCTGTAGTGAGTCGTAACTGTACCACTGTGCCACTGCCCTCCAGTCTGAATGACAGAGTGAGACCCAGTCTCAAATAAGAAAAAATAAGGATGAAGGCCGGGCACGGTGGCTCAAGCCTGTAATCCCAGCACTTTGGGAGGCCGAGGCGGGTGGATCACCAGGTCAAGAGATCGAGACCATCCTGGTCAACATGGTGAAACCCCGTCTCTACTAAAACTACAAAACATTAGCTGGGCATGGTGGCGCGTGCCTGTAATCCCAGCTACTCAGGAGGCTGAGGCAGGAGAATTGCCTGAACCCAGGAGGCGGAGGTTGCGGTGAGCCGAGATCGCGCCATTGCACTCCAGCCTGGGTAACATGAGTGAAACTCCATCTCAAAAAAAAAAAAAAAAAAAAAAAAGAAAAAATAAGGATGAGAGACAGCTTTACATCCCATGTGGCATTGTGAAAATGGTAATTTCAAAATTCCATATGAGTTCAAGTATTTATTCATTAGAGGGATTTAAATATATATAACTGAATCTACAATAACATACACCAAATTAAGAAGTCCTTTACCTGAGGTTTTCCATAAGCACATATACTTTTTCCTATATGTTAAAAGTAAGTATTGCCATGGAGGGGAAAAAAGACTTGAAGGAAATATCACATGGGAAGTGAGAAGGGATATAATGGTAACAGGCATGACATTTCTCAAGAGTTTAAAAAGGTGTGACTCCACAGGAACATAAGCTCTTCTGAATTCAGGAGGAGCTGGAACATCTTGTGAGCTGGAGGACACTGCGTACCCAGGATACTTGGCGCCCAGCCTCGGGGCAGCGGCACCCTGGTGTAAGTGACGGAAGTGAGCCCTGGTGTCCCCCATGACCCAGCCTCCATCACCCCACCGTGTCTTTCCTGTGCTACACACTGGGAAACCACGGGCTAATCAGTATTTTCTGGAAAGAGAAAAAAGTCCCTGTGAGCTTTCTCACATCCATCTCTCCTCTGATGATTTCAGCCAACTTGTGTTTCCAAGTGAATGCATCAGGACACTCTTCAAAAGTCAAAGCACCCAGGTAGAAAGGTTGGCCCAATCCAAGGCCTTGCTTACTGGGTTAAGAGCTTAGACTCTAGAGTGAACTAAACTTGGGTTTCAATCTAAGGGGTCACTTAAAAGCTGTCTGACCTTGGACCAGTTTCTCTAAACTTCAGCTTCCTAATTTACAAAATACAGTACTTTTGGCCAGGTGCAGTGGCTCACACCTGTAATCCCAGCACTCTGGTAGGTCGAGGTGGGTGGATCACTTGAAGCCAGGAGCTCAAGACCAGCCTGGCCAACATGGTGAAAACCTGTCTCTACTAAAAATACAAAACTTAGCAGGGCACAGTGGTGTATGCCTATAATCCCAGCTACTCAAGAGGCTGAGGCACAAGAATTGCTTGAACCCGGCAGGGAGAGGCTGCAATGAGCTGAGATCATGCCACGGCACTCAAACCAGGAGTGAGAAGGGTCAAAATTTTTTAAAATAAAATAAAATATAGTACTACATCAAAGGGTGGGTGAAATCACTGCATGAAAATTTGTGTAAAGTAATGGCAGAGAGGGGACACATGGCATTATGATCTGCTATTATTACTAACACTATTGTTATTAACAGTAGCATTATAACTTTGGGAGGCCGAGGCGGGTGGATCACGAGGTCAAGAGATTGAGACCATCCTGGTCAACATGGTGAAACCCCGTCTCTACTAAAAATACAAAAAATTAGCTGGGCATGGTGGTGCGTGCCTGTAATCCCAGCTACTTGGGAGGCTGAGGCAGGAGAATTGCCTGAACCCAGGAGGCGGAGGTTG